CATGAGACTCAGTTCAGCCTCTCCTGAATACTAATCAGTTTCACCTGTTTGTTATTATTTGCCTAGTTAGAGTTAGTATAAAGCCCAGGCTGTTAGTTTAGCTCTTTGCGAGATATTGCATCTTTCGAGTGTTTTCTTTGGTGATTGTTATTCTGGATCCAACTACTTCTCTGTGTTTTTGGACTTCACCCCTTGTGCTTTTGCCCTTTGGACTCTGTTTGCCTGGTTATGTTTGTTTGTTTGTACTTTTTTGGGGTTGACCTATGCCTGTTGTTTGACTACGATTTTGGATCACAATTCAATTAGTTAAGCCTTTTTCTCTTTTTTTCATCCACAAGCATCTGAATCATTCTGGCATATTACAGTTATTAACATTTAAATAAACAAACATTATTCACTGCTGCCCTGTAAGGGTGTTTTTAACAAAAATCTAATCAACAAATATTATTCACTGCTTCCCTCTGAATGTGTTATTAACAGCAAATAAACAAATAGTACTCACTGCTTCCCTCTAAATGTGTTATTAACATTAAATTACCAAGCATTACTTAATGCTGCCCTTTAAAGGTGTTCTTTACAAAAATCAAATAAACAAATATTACTTGCCGCCGTCTTCTAAATCTGTTATTAATAAACATCAAATAAACAAACATTACTCACTGCTGCCCTCTAAATGTGTTATTAACAAAAATCAAATAAATAAACATCACTCACCACTACCCTCTAACAGTGTTATTAACAAACACCAATAAACAAGGGCTGTCCAGTCTTATCCGCAATGAGCCAGTGAGTATGAAACAAAAATGCACCCACACTGGCCCTTTGCAGACAAGATTGGACACCCCTGAAATACCTCACATCCTGCTTTTTGCACTGTAAACATATAATTGTGCAACCAAAATCACTGTTTTTGTGACAAAACCAATACATTTATTAATACATATAGCCTATACATATAGCAGTTTAGCCCCACCTATTCACGCTGAAGTTATGTGGAGTGTTTCAGCCTGGACTGCCTTTGAATGAGGCACAAAACATGGCAGCAAGTCAGAACAAAGGTCATTTACATTTATCAGCCTTAAAGGCACAGTGACAAAAAACAGGCTAATGGATAATTCTAATGGATACCAGAAGGTTGAATAATCGTCATGTAAAAATGTAGTATGAACACACAAATGTCATAAGGAGGCCTCAGGAGAAAAAAAAATACAAGTAAAATAACTGCAACTAGGCAATTATGTAATAATTGCGACAGGCAAATAGTGGAAGCAAAACCATTCATAGAATCAGTAAAAATAACTGACCTAAAAGACAAGAGCCTTTCTTGTGTAGACCTTCAGGACACATACTATGTGCAGCTTATTCAGACCACTGTCTTTAATCACAGATTATACGAGGCATGCAGTAAACATGACTACAGTATATGAAAGAATGTGACTCTATCACATGCACAGTACACAACGTCATCATGCCTAATTATATAAGGAATATGTTTTCGGGAAATGAAGGACACATTCAACCCCAGTGAGTGGGACCAAATGGCTTTTATCTACCACTTAAGTAAGAATAAAAGTCCACAGTAGTCCAGTCTAAATAGCACAGACAGATGTTTTAGTGAAGATACTCTGCCCATTTAATTCTACGGTCTCTCCCCTCGTTCAGAAAGGCTGCCTCCTCAAGCGAGCGAAGAGCATGTCTTCACGTTTAGCCTAAAGCCACTGACCAAACAGCTTTGACTGGCATCTTAACATGCTGCACACTCGTCTCTGCTGCATGATCACACAGTCTAAACACATCCAGCACCACATTAGCTGGTGCAGCCTCGATTAGTTTGCCATGCAATGCTAACGCCTGGGCCAAAATGGCCCCATGGAAAGTGAAATCACTTGAATAAGAGGAGCAGGTTTCAGATGTTTCATTTTCTTCAGATAGCCATAGTAGCATAATGAGGTGGAACGTACTGCCTTCTTCTTTCGCACATGCTGCGCGAAACTAATCCAGACAACACTGTGGAACTCATGACAGCTGGGACTTGGAGAGAAAAACCCTCAGGAAAAGAACATGAAGGTACTTCTAGCAGCTGGACTTGAAGCACTACCAAAACTCAACACTCTTGTCAAATATGAAGGCCCAGCTGTCGGTGGAAATACAAAGGGCTTTTATCCAGTTCTGAAACATGCTGACATTTCTGTCTTTCACAGTCTTCATCAGAGACAGAAGGCCGAAACTTCAGCATAATCTTATGCTGAAAAGTTGAAAAATTCTGAGTTTGGAATATGACTGGCATCTTTTTGTTTTTGAGGTGCCTTGGTGGACCCAGTTAGACATTTAACATAAGAATTAAAGCTAGCATTTGGTAGACTGGGCTTTTACAAGGCAAGCCACTCAACAGCTGAATATAGCCCAGAGTAGTGTTTTTCTACCCTTCGCAGATTTTTCGCCAGCTAGCTGCTTGGTCGGCCTGCAGCAGACTCAGGGAGGGACTTCCAATAGGAATCTCTGGAATGCCGAAATGTTGTTATTCTCCTCTGAGAATTTATTTACATGTTCCATCTGGACCTAGAAGAAGGCTTGCAGTATGATATCGTTCTCCTCCTTCATCTCTCAGAAAGGTCAAGTATAGAGTCAAGCATACTTGTCAGATCAGAATAGGGAGGAGAGCAGATGAGCCTGTCATCTCACTTAGCGTCAATTTCAGCAAACAATATCATCTGCACAGAGCCGGGGCTTCGTAACGGCTTTCCTTGGTCTATGGTGCATTAAACCAATCAGTAATTGGCTCCATACAGTGCAAAGTAAAGTTATTAAAATCATCCTGAATCCAGATGCCAGTGCGGAATGTTCAGACTTGCTGAGTCTCTCAAATCTATATCTTTACCTTTGTGTTTATATTTCAAAAAGAGTACAGTTCCTCAGGTTAGTCTCCACCTAATCCATACTGACACTCAACATCTGTATGTGCCACATTTGCAATCTTGTGGTGTCCTTAAGAATAAGAGATGAAGCTTACCTTTACTCAGCTCTGTAGGAAAACGCTGTATCTTATGTCCACTGTGTCCACTGACCCTGCCACAGGTTCTTTAAAAGAGACGTAGAGTGAAAGACTTGTAAACCTTCTTCTTCTCTCTCTCTCTTTCTCTCACACACACCCTCTCTAGGGGCCATAAAGCATTCAGCAAAACTTGCTCACCACTTGTAACATTTCACTGCTTTAGGGAAAAAAAAAAATACAGGTTTCAGTGTGGGGGTCTCATACCAGATGCAACGCTTCCCTCTAGTGCTGAAGAAAAGAAGAAACACCTTCAATTTGTGTATATAGCATCTTAAAGGCATCTTCCCACTGTTCAAATGGTTTAAAATTTATATTTATATTCTCATTATGGTGTTAATTCCGGGGGGTGAAGGTGGTTATGAACTGTAGCTCTACCTACTTTTATGACTCTGGTACATGAATTTTCAGATATTTCAAACTGTGTAGAATGAGCTGTTTTTGCCAGTCACACTTGACTTGAATAAGAATTCACATTAAGAACAGCTACATCCAAAGAAGCTGGATCTAAACTGAAGTTTGTTTTTTTTTGAGGAAAATAGATAGAAAATAATAAATAAACTATATATATATATATATATATATATATATTATTATATTTATATTTACTGTCTAACAGAATGGTCTATTGAGTAAACGGATGAATAATCCATTCAAACCTGCGGAGAATAGAGTTACTGTCTCGACCAAGTCCCTCCTCTTCAATCCCAGTGGTAGGACCCCTAAACTGGTTAGGGGCGTGTAGTAGTGTAGCTGATTTTTCATTGGTCACAACAGCAACATCCTTCAGCGGAACAGCCCCCCTTTCAGTAGCTCACACACACGCCGATCTTGACAGGTTCGATTCAGCTTACCAAACCGATTCTTTCGAACTGTGAATGAATGAGTCGAATGTCCGATTAAACGATTCGTTGACTCTTAAGTCAATTCATCTTTATCCTCATCTCCTTCATAGATAATGAGATTCGGTTCAGTAAGTGAGTCTAATGTCACTACTTTCAGTCACGGAGTCGCTCTAGAAGCATCTACAGTGTACTGAGAAAAAAAAAAGAAAATTTCAATAACAAATATATGACTTTAATTTTATGAGGTTTAATTGTGGAGGTTTTTAAAGATATGAATTCATATAATATATCAATATGGCATTGATATTATTAATTATGCTCATAAATTATAATTAATGCTGCAGTTTTATGGGTAGATATACATTCTTATATGAATTATTATTATTATTATTATTATTATTATTATTATTATTATTGTTTATTTTTTATTTTTTAAAAACATTTGTGCCATTCTTCGTGATACTGCCAGAAAACTGATTATAAAGACTTAATGACCACTAACAATGACAAAAACACTAATTTTAAAGAGCATAATACACTCGGGGAAATTCACAGATTTTTTACAAATATTTTGCGTAATTCTATCAATGAAAATGTTATTTAGAGTGGTTTGAGTTTAGAGAGAATTTAGAGAAAATTACTAAGTAAGAGTTTTTCGCAGTGGTGGTGACAGGACCTCAATGTCTGAAGAGTTTCATTAAAAGTGACATCAGAGGATTTTTTTTAACATAAAACTCATAAGACATGAACAGTCATTTGCAAAGGTTGAACACCTCTAGTCAAATGACACGTCTTGTTGAATTTCTAAGTTAAATTAACATATCGTCAGAGAGCAAACTTAAATTTGTGAAAATAATAGTAATTAATAGAAAATTACACAGTTTATTTGTTTATCAATATTTAATACACCATCAGTGTAATAATGGGCCATGATAATATAATAAATAATATAATAACATTATTGATTATTTTAGTTAATACATGCATTGTGCATTAACTACATTTTATGGGCGCTTCAAAATAAAATACGATTCAGTTGGGAGCCATGAATCGGTTCGACCGATTCGTTAAAACGAATCTGTTCAGAAGAACGACTCGTTCACGAGTCGGACGTCGCTGCGAGCCAAGCACACGCTCTTTCCCAGCTCACGCGCTTCGGCGGCGGTATAAAAGCGTCTGTGTTCCCCCCACCACCGTCATGTCTGAGTCGCCGGACAAACGGAGAAAGATGGAGTCTGCCCTGGACCAGCTGAAAAAATACACCGTAGTTGTCGCAGACACCGGAGACTTCAACGGTAATTTTAGCCTCCTTTCCTTGTCGTTAGATACGGCTAGTTACTTAGCGGTGCGCCGCTGTTAGCAACAGCTTTCCTCAGCTAGTACACGTCTAAAAGGATTTAACTGGCTGAGTTTTGAATAACAGTCCATGCCAGTTAGTGTTTTGGTCAGATCCACAGGGTTTTGCTAACTTAGCTAAAGCCAGCCTTAGCAACTTGTTAGCTATGTAGTTCGCTAGCTCAGCTAGCTAGCTAACTTAGCTAATAACGTGATATAACCCGACTGGTAAAGACAGCTAGTTAGCTAACTATCTGATTTTAAAATCGGCCAGTTAGTTCATTTGAATGCTTTTCAGGAGATTTCTGCTCTCTTGGTGTCGTTAGCTAGCTAACTAGTATTCTTGAACGAGTAGCGTCTAATAAACTTGACTAGTTTAGCCATGTCTGGTCCAAAAGTTCATCTTGAGCTGTATAGACGTGTCTGGAGCTCAGCACGTTACTCAGGCGTGTCATGTGTAGATCCTGAGAGAGGTTAATTTAACAGTGGTGCAGACATGTGGCCTGGCTAATACGTTTAACTTCAGCTAAATGCACAAGATTTAAGAGAGGCTGCTTTTTTCTGCAGCTCTAAATGGGTTAAGACAGAGACTGGGTGTGCACTGAGCAAACCGATTTATCAGTGATTGATGACATTGTAATCCAGAACAGTCAGCAGCCTGGTTGCATTGATTTGAAAACCACCCCTATATCGACATGTAACTGTATCAACAAAGGTCTGTAGTAAGACACTGTACGATTGGATAGTGTAATAATCTATACCATTGTGCCTCTTGTGACAGTTCTGTTGTATTGCTTTACAGTAATCTATAGTACTTGTGTACTTTTTGTTGTATAATATAGTCGTTCTCCAAATTTACTATAAGATTCTCATAGAAATCCTGTAAAGTAATACTGTCATTCTTTTTTTATAAGGGTAGGACTCTGTACCCAGTTGTTAAGTAATTATTAAGGTCATTGCTATTAATGAAGTGAGTTTTGCAGTAGGCCAGAACTGGCTCACATCCTCATTATTTAACAAGGAAGTTTGAGGCAATTTGGTCTTTGTTCACTGCCTATGGCGCAAATCAAACATTTCTTCATGCCTGCAAAGTCAGTATGACAAAACAGAAAACAGCCAGGCTGTTGGTGAAGGAGAGTGTGGCTCCAGTAGGATTTAAAGCATCTCCGGTCACTTCTGGCTGTAATGCCTCAGATCAAGTATCTTGTTCCAGTTACAACAAACCAAACAACTAACTACACAAGGAAACAATAAAAACAAATAAACAAACAAAAAATAAACAAAAAAAGTTTTATACAGGGCTTAATTAACCCATTACTGTCCCAGTCTTTGGTCAAGATGTTTTGAGTATTTTCACACAGATGAAACCGTCTTCCTAAAAACTGTTTCTATCACTCAACTTATCATATTATGTATGTAGATATAATGTTAATATATATTTAGTGCTTTGGTCACATGGAACTGCTGATTTTTAGCAAAACTATGTATTAAACTATGTTTAATAGTGAATAAAAATATGACAGTGACATCATAAATTCAAATGAACAATGTTAGATGTTTAGTTATACCTTGGATGAACAAGTTTAATCACTGTAGACCAATCAGAACCAGCTCTAAATTTAGTTTTTGGCAGTGGATGGGTTAAATGCTTTAAAAGTGAAGTCCCATTTACTCTTTGAATCCTCCACTGTCATCCTCCACTTTTGTACCACTTCTCCTCATGTGGCAGTTCATATAAAGCTTGTTTCTAAAATAGTTTTTGCCAATCAAAAAAAGGCACAGGACCTTAATGGATTAAACATGATACAGAATAATGATAGTTTAATTGAGTACTGAATAATGGCTTTTCACATCTGAAACCTGGATGACTAGTGTCCAGTCAGTATTCTCAGTAACTATATTTTTTTTTAAACGGTCTCTCTCTGATAGAAGTGCCTTGTTTTAAGCTTCTCATATCTATTCAACGTTATCTGAACTGAATGCAGCATTGATTTGTGCAAACTTTCTAGTGGCCACACTTTGCTTTCATGTTCAGTTCTTTGTTTTGTTGCAGTGTTTTAGGTATGTTTGAGCTTTTGAGGCTGTTCAAATACTTTGTACTGTCAGTTTTACATAAACTGAGCAGGAAAAGTTGAGTTTGCTGTAGCAGTGATTTTGTAAAAGTGAGTTCACCAATACTGGTTGTAAGTAGCAGATTTAGGATGATTTCCCAAAACAGGTGCGTTCTCTGAGAATTCATCTTTGTATTAGCCCATCCTTTGTCACATGTTTATTCTGTAATCTGTACAGTTGCAGTTGCATGACTGATACTAGGTATTACAGTGATGTAATACCTGGTATTAGTCATGCCAGTCATCCCAAAAAGTCAGTGTTCAGTTGTTGGCTAACATTTATCTCTAAACAAAATAGATATGTGACTAATATATATGTGATTCTGTTAAACGTGTAAGTCCCTTTTCAAAGAGTTGCATGTCTGGTCTTGCTTTAACTGCTCCGGGGTGTTGCTAGTGTGGTATAAGAATTGAAAGACTCTTCTTTAAAGTGTCTTTTCATCTGAGAAATATTTGAGCCACCTGGCACCTTGTGTGTAGAACTTTGGAGTGAAAGACAGTCTGGTGATTTCTGTGAAATCCCAATCAGTGCAAGTTAATCTAAATTGGTACTTTGGCTTTGAAATGTTTAAATCAGACAGCCCTACAGCTCTTTGAAAGATTTTCTGGGTTGTGTACATTTTGATAAGCTGAATTCTTATCAAATTTCTTATGTAATCAAAACACAGTGTGGTAAGAGTGAAGAAGCTTTTTCTTTTTACTCAGATATGGTATGTCATGCAGTAAGAATGATGGCTGATGCATTACATTCCCAAGTTTGACAATTAAAAACAGATGTCATTGACAATGACTTGCATTTTTTTGTGTCCAAGTCCATAATTTTCTCAAAGAAGAATTTAATAAATACATGCCATATATCAGATTATTTAACAATACCTCTTTTATGTCAAACAATTTTCAGTGCATACATATAAAATCTCTCAGAAGTCTAAAGATGTTCAATAGTGCAACCATCCAACTGTATACATTAATTACGTAAGCCATCAAAAATTTTCCTTTAATTATTTAAAATTCTAAATAAAGTAGTTTGGCATGAGTGTATGTTTGAAAACTTGAAAATAAAAACCACGTTGCAAAATAAGGCAACGTTAAAAGTATTCAACTCGCTAATAAATTTTTGTCCGCAAATTCTTATTTCGTCAAATGTCAAGCGGCACAGCCAAAAACAAAAGACTATTATTTTGACATGCTTTTATGAAAGGGGCCAGGGTATTGTATCATAAAGAAACCCCAAGTGACCTTCATGGTATGATTTATGGTATTTGCTTTAGCAAATTTTGGAAAACTATCATTTTTGAGTCATTGTTAGAGTGGTTCGGTTTACCCTGTCAGGTGATATGACCTCAGAAAAGCACTGAAAATGGGCAATTTGTTATAATGTTTATTTATTTTAAAAAATGTAAGTATAAACTAAGGTTCAAGGACAAAGGTTTCTACTAGTTTCTAAGTAGATATCTGTTTAATTTAACTAGCTGTCTAAGTAGATGTCAGCTGATAAATGCCAATATATATGGAATTTTAAAAATGCATGTCTTTTTTAATAAGATTTTTTGAAAATTGCAATTTTGAAAACTGTCATTGAGATGTGTATGTAATAAACTGTAATACATTTTCTTGTTTCATATCCACAGCCATTGAAGAATATAAGCCCCAGGATGCTACGACAAACCCCTCCCTCATCTTGGCAGCAGCCAAGATGCCAGCCTATCAGCAGTTGATGGACCAGGCAATCAAATATGGCATTGCCCAAGGCGGGTAAGGGATTTTACCGTATACAGTTGAAATAATATTTGATTGAAATTTTGAAATTGAACACCAGTGTATGTTTGTCATACTGTATATTTCTAATGAGTTGTTATGTTGTAGGACTGAAGATGAGCAAGTGACCAACACTGTGGACAAGCTCTTTGTAATCTTTGGGCTGGAGATTCTGAAGAAGATCCCTGGTAGAGTCTCCACAGAGGTGGATGCAAGGTAAAGTGGGATGTCTTTCATCTGGCCCTAACAACAGTCTTGGTATGTAGTGTTCCACATAAGCAAAATATGCAAATCTATTGCCTGTTTGTTCTCAGGCTGTCATTTGATAAAGATGCAATGGTGACTCGTGCACGAAGACTCATTTCCCTGTATGAAGAGGCTGGAGTGAGTAAAGATCGGGTGCTTATCAAGCTTTCTTCCACGTGGGAGGGCATTCAGGCTGGCCGGTAAGTTTATATATTTCATAGATAAGTTTCATGTTTATGTTCCTCCTCTGAGTTACTGATCATCTGGTTTGTGTATGCTTTGGTATCTTTCTCAGGGAGCTGGAGGAAAAGCATGGGATCCACTGCAACATGACCCTGCTGTTCTCCTTTGCCCAGGCAGTGGCTTGTGCTGAGGCCCGGGTCACCCTCATCTCGCCCTTTGTTGGACGCATCTTGGACTGGTACAAAGAGAACACTGACCGCAAGAGCTATGAGCCGCACGAAGACCCAGGTATGTGGCCTGATATCAGCGATGAAGTAATTCAATTTGGGGTGCTATTGTGCAACTGAAGATGACCCTAAATGTTTTTGTTCCTGGGGGCATATGCACATGTGTGTGCATCTGCATGCAAAATGAAAAAAGCTGGAGGTAAAAGCAATGATGCATATTCTCAGCAATCCAAAACCTTGATAACTACTATGTATTAGCTATGAAATATCTACACGGGCACCAAACCACCGTACACTGCAGCAGTCATCAACACCTATAGGTGAGTTAAAACAGCAGAGTGAGAGGTTGCACATCTAGCGAGTGTATAATATAAAAGGTATAATACTCTTTCAAGCGCCATAATTTTTCCCTTTTTTTTAGGCAAATTTACCACAAAAATAACTAATCAGGGGGGAAAATTTGCAGCTTCTCTGCTTCACCACTTGGGGGTGCTGCAGCATTCCTGCTAGATACTGAGATGCAGTAGTTCTCAGTGGTTGTTGTGAGAATGTGTCCTTAACAATGTTCCTGATTTTTATTTGTTTATGAATTCTGATCAGTTGTCTCCTTTTCCCCCTCTATATAGGTGTGCTGAGCGTCACTAAGATCTACAACTACTATAAGAAGTTTGACTACAGTACTGTGGTGATGGGTGCCTCCTTCAGGAATATTGGAGAAGTTAAGGCTTTGGCTGGCTGTGACCTGCTTACAATCTCACCAGGGCTGCTAGGAGAGCTCAGTCAGGATCACAGTTCAGTGTCCTGCACGCTCACTCCACAGGGAGGTAGGTACCAGTGTCTAACAAAGCACCTTTATGAATTCTCTTTTTAAACCATGTTAGAGAAAATGTAATCTGAAACGGTTTTCCTTTCTTCTGTGTAGCAAAGACATGTGATCTAGAGAAGTTGCACCTGGATGAGAAGGCTTTCCGCTGGCTTCACAATGAGGACCAAATGGCTGTGGAGAAGCTCTCTGACGGAATCCGTAAATTTGCTGCTGATGCAGTAAAACTTGAGACCATGATCAAGGTGCACATAGTATAAACACGTGTATAAGGTCGGGTTTCTTGGACAAGGATTAAGCCTAATCTTGGACTACCAAGCATTTTGAATGGAGATTCTCTGTTGTAAGGAAAACGTTGTCTAGGTCTATGCTTAATCCCTGTCTGGGAAACCAACTCAGTGTTAGTAATAAATAGGAATATTGGTGTATAATCAGTTGACAATGTGATGTGGTAAGCAGCAGTCTTCTCTTCTGGCTTTTTCTCAGGAGAAGATGTTTAGCGTGAAGAATGGACAGTAATGGAGAAGAGATGAGGGCCCTGGTGGTCTAGCAGAGGGACTTCGCCTTCTGACTCTTGATCTCCCCCCATTCCTGATGGCCCGTTGAGCTACACTGTGCCACTCTTGGCTGAAATTGTGACTGACTGCTGATAGGTTCCAATGTTGAACGTTCCCTAGTCTTAAAATTGTGACCAAAAATATGAGCTGCACTAATTATGAACGTCTAACAATTGCACTTTTAGCCATCATCTAGGATCAGAAAAATCCCTTTATATCATAATAAATTAGTACCAAGAAAACTTATCTCAGATGTTCAATTAGGTACTTTCTACCTACTCCTCCTCTCCAAGATGCTGTTGGAAACGGGAGTAGCCTAAGGGCTAGAGTAAAGTGGATGCCAGCTGTGCAGATAGATACATTTGTAAGGACCAAAGGCCTTGTAACAGGTCCATGATCATGACTAAGTCAGATCCACTTCTTCATATTTCCAATAAACCCTTGAAGGGAAGTCCCAAACGTTTCACAAAGAAACAATTTCAGGACATATGAGCTAAATCCCAGTTATTAAAGATGTCTTTCCTCAACAGTGTGTCTGTTGTCTTATTGTGGATCAATGGGAAGTGCTATGTGTGCACAGTGGAGCTTCTTTTACAGAGTGCAATCCAATATCAGAGTTTTGCAGTGATCAGTGTAAGACAAAAAGGGTAGTAATAACTGTTCAAGACTACATGGTATCCAGCGAAGGACATTGAGGAAGTTGTTGAGCATAAGTATATTCTTAGGCTTGTGAGTAGTGTCCTTCACATTACTGACATAAAGAAGTTCTCCACACACTGTGTTCAGTGCTGTAACTGAAATTGAGCCAGTTTGTTCTTTTGTCTGTTATCTGTTAGTGTGAAAGATGATCTAAGTTTGTAAAGATCATGTACAAACTTTTATTATGGGTGAGGCTATGGTTTTATGTATATAGTCTGGAATGTCCATAATCTAGAAATAATTTTAAAGTTTGGAACAGTTTCTAGTATAGTGTATATACTTTTTTTGTTTATTACTCATCAAATCTCAGCATAATGGGGTGGTTCAGTAGCACTTTAGTGAAGGGCAGTGTTCACAAGGCTACATCTTTCATAACAACTTTAAATCTACAAGCATCACTTGTCAGCACTTTGAGGTAAAATTTACAAAATTGACAAAATCAGCCTTTGTGATAACTGACACTTGCTGGAATAAGCCTTTATAAACTTGTATGCAGGTTTATATCAGTTGTTAAGAAAGGCTGATACAGTCTCCTCTGAAAGTATTGGAACAGCAAGGCCAATTCTTTGGTTTTTCCTGTACACTGAAGATATGTAGGTTTGCAATCAAAACATGAATGAGATCAGAAATTCAGCTTTTATTTCCTGATATTTACATCTAGATGTGTTAACTTAAAACAACACTTCTGGTGGCAGAACACCCAGTTTCTAGGTGAGCAAAAGTATAGCAACAGGTGGCCTTAAAGTAAATACCACTTAATATTTGGTTGCATATCCCTTCCTTGCAATAACTGCATCAAGCCAGAGGCCCAAAGACATATGAACTATTTCATTCTTCTTTTGTTGTTTGCTTTGTGGGGTTTCAGGAGGTGAAATGCATGCTCAGTTAAGCTCTGGCAATTGACTGGCCAGTCTAAAACCTTCCACTTTTTCCCCCTGATGAATTCCTTTGTTGCGTTGGCAGCGTGTTTTGTTTTTGTCATTTTGTTGCTGAATGATGTTCCTCCCAACTAGAATGGATTCATTTCTCTGTACATTGGCAGACAGAATGTTTCTGTAAACTTCTGAATTCATTCTGCTGCCACCATCATGAGTTACATCATCAATAAAGATTATTGAGCCTGTTCCAGAAGCAGCCATGCTAGCCTAAGCTATGACACCGTGCTTGATCAATGAGTGTGTATGTTTTGGCTCATAAGCAGATCCTTTCTTTTTCTACACTTTGGCATTTCCATCAGGTTAATCTTGGTCTCATCAGTCCATAAAACTCTGTTCCAGAACTTTTGTGGCTCATCTCTGTATTTCTTCGCAAATACTAATCTGGCCTTCTGATTCTTATTCCTGATGAGTAGTTTGTATCTTGTGGTAGAGCCTCTATATTTCTGCTCTAAAGGCCTATTTTAAAGGGTGTGATACCTTCAACCCTGACCTATGGAGGTTTTTGGTGATGTTACTGACTGTTGTTTTGGGGTTTTTCTTCACAGCTCACAAAGTTTTTGTCATCAATTGCTGCTGTTTTTCTTGGCCAACCTGCTCGATGTCTGGTTATTAGTACACCAGTGCTTTATTTCTTTTTCAGGATGTTCCAAATTGTTGTATTGGCTCTGCTCGATTTTCCTTCTTTTCTCAGCGTCAAAATGTCTAGCTTTTTCCTATAGGCAGCTCTGTGGTCTTCATGTTGGTTTATCCTTTTTGACAACACGTGCCATTTTCACAGACGAAACCCATGACTCATACCAAGAGTAGACATTTAGCGCTATTAACTGTTTAAACAACAAAAACACCTGTCAGTGACATGTTCAAATATTTTTGCTCACTTTAAAAATGAATTGGTTCAAACAAAAGGTGCCGTTTTTTAAGTTGTTTAACATGATGTAAATATTAGGAAATAAAAGCTGAAATTCTGATTTACACTATATTGTCAAAAGTATTCACTCACCCATCCAAATCATTGAATTCAGGTGTTCCAATCACTTCCATGGCCACAGGTGTATAAAACCAAGCACCTAGACATGCAGACCGCTTCTACAAACATTTGTGAAAGAATGAGTCGCTCTCAGGAGCTCAGTGAATTCCAGAGTGGTACCATGATAGGATGCCACTTGTGCAACAAGTCCAGTCGTGAAATTTCCTCGCTACTAAATATTCCACTGTCAACTGTCAGTGGTATTATAACAAAGTGGAAGCTTTTGGGAACGACAGCAATTCAGCCACGAAGTCGTAGGGCACATAAAATGACAGGGCAGGGTCAGCGGATGCAGACCTCCAAACTTCATGCAGCCTTCAGACTAGCTCAAGAACAGTGCGTAGAGAGCTTCATGGAATGGGTTTCCATGGCCGAGCAGCTGCATCCAAGCCTTGCATCACCAAGTACAATGCAAAGCGTTGAATGCAGTGGTGTAAAGAGCCGCCACTGGACTCTAGAGCAGTGGAGACATGTTCTCTGGAGTGACTAATCACGCTTCTCTGTCTGGCAATCCGATGGATGAGTCTGGGTTTGGCGGTTGCCAGGAGAACGGTACTTGTCTGACTGCATTGTGCCAAGTGTAAAGTTTGGTGGAGGGGGGATTATGGTGTGGGGTTGTTTTTCAGGAGTTGGGCTCGGCCCCTTAGTTCCAGTGAAAGGAACTCAATGCTTCAGCAGACTAAGAGATTTTGGACAATTTCATGCTCCCAACTTTGTGGGAACAGTTTGGGGATGGCCCCTTCCTGTTCCAACATGACTGCGCACCAGTGCACAAAGCAAGGTCCATAAAGACATGGATGAGCGAATTTGGTGTGGAAGAACTTGACTGGCCTGCACAGAGTCCTGACCTCAACCCGATAGAACACCTTTGGGGTGAATTAGAGCAGAGACTGCGAGCCAGGCCTTCTTGTCCAACATCAGTGTCTGACCTCACAAATGTGCTTCTGGAAGAATGGTCAAAAATTCCCATAAACACACTCCTAAACCTTGTGGAAAGCCTTCCTAGAAGAGTTGAAACTGTTATAGCTGCAAAGGGTGGGCAGACATCATATTAAACCCTATGGATTAAGAATGGGATGTCACTCAAGTTCATATGCGTGTGAAGGCAGACGAGAGAATACTTTTGGCAATATAGTGTATCTTCTCATATTCACCTTTAGATCTCAAATCCAAACGTCTTCAAGAACATTCCAATACTTTTGGAGGAGACTGTATGTGTCAGCTTACTGACTCAGGCTTTTCTTTGGGTACTATTTTGTCTTAAAACATTCTGCACCATGAACAGATTTGAAGAATACATTGTAGGCCAAAATCTTATTCAAAACGATCAGGCGTCAAGCATCGTAACCTTTTCATGTAATTTTCTGTGAGTTAACTTTTAATGGCAATCATTTCAGATGTCCAAGTTTTTTCACATCAAACCACTCTGAATGACCTTGTTTACAAATTAAAGAGTTAATTATGCAGAAATTTAGAAAAATCTGTGAAATTCTGCTTTAAGATTCTAAACTGAATGTTCATAGTTTGACCATTTTATACAAAACAAAATGTCATACAGTGTCAGAAACCACATTAAATCTGTTTGTGATTACCTAACTATTAAACAAAGAACAGGTCAATGAATTTATAACACTATATTCATATTTACAATAATGTCCAGTGTATATTATTGTTTTAAAACCACAAAATTGTTTTCACAATTGCTCTTGTATTTGGCTTAGTCTTGTAACGGAGATTAGCTCAAGGAAATAAGCTTGTCATGACTAATCCGTGAGAAAGCCCAAGCTTAAAATAAATGGAAGCAATGCATAATCATTGTTGACAGATTTGAATGAAACAGCAAATCACAGTTTATTGCTGAAACAGAAGAAGCTATGAGTAGAAATAGACGGCCAGTTTCAATCCAAGCATTCTGTACCAGCTCAGTAGGGGCACTTTTGACATTGTCTTGTTTCTAAAGCAATGTTTCTCAATCCCATTGGGGGGCATTCAGTTCCATCCACGTTTTTGTATTTCACTTGCTCTAAAACCCATCTGCTCACAATCTTAATGACTTATCAGGGCTGTTGTAGCAGGAACAAAACAAGTACGTACAGTACATTGGGGTATCTGGAACTCCTCTGTTTCCTATTGGAGGAGTAGCTTGGAGACAACCCTGCAATGCCAGTGTAGGGCATTATAAGACATGTTCTACCCTTTGATGAGGTCAGTGTCACAGTCCAGTCACCTATGGAGGGATGAGAAGAAGAGCTCTCGGTGTCTTTCACAATTATAACTTACTGTTCTATTACCTTGTGATTATACGGATGAAATAACCCACTTCTTATTACAGTCATCTGATAGCTTTGAGCACATGACAGTTTAGTTAACATCTGCAGTCACACTCAATTAGGCTACTCACTGCAGATCATAGTCAATTTGTTCCCTAATTTTTGTCTGCAGTGTAGCAGAGATTGCTGTCATTGCAGGTCCACCCGGCCTTCCCTCAAACTGTTTCAGTGCTAATCCTGCAGGTGAGAAGCAAGTGAGAACCTGGTCCCCAGGAGCTATCTCTGCTCTCCAGGACTGTTTTGAGCACACTGATTGGGAGATGTTTCGAGAAACAGCAACTTCTGGTGACTCCATCAACCTAGAGGAGTATACAGAACCAGTGACTGGCTACATCAGCAAGTGCATTGCTGATATTACTGTCTCCAAACTCATCACGACACACCCCAACCAGAAGCCATGGGTGACTGCAGAGGTGCGCATGCTGCAGAGAACCTGCAATAAGGCCTTCAAGTCAGGGGATAAGGCAAGCCTCAGAGCAGTAAGAGCCAAGGTTTCCTGGGCCATCAGAGAGGCAAAGCGCACCTAGGCAAAGAAAATCCATGAACATTTTCAAGACACTGCTGGCCAACAGCATATTTGGCAGGGCATAAAGAGGAGGTGCAGCAGCTAACGGACTGGTGCAGAACCAATGTGGACAAAACTGAGGAGATGGTTGTTGACTTCCGAAGAGTGTGAGGTGACCACCCCCCCGCTGAACATCAATGGCTCTGCCGTGAAAATCGTCAGGAGCACCAAGTTCCTCTGTGTTCACATCACAAACAACCTCACCTGCCATCACTGCCAGACTCTGCAACAGCTTTGTTCTGCAAGCAATCAGATTTTTAAACTCACAAGGACTGAACTGAAAACCCCCTCACACAGAAGTACTGTATATTTCTACCTCAGTAACTGCTGTCCTCACGTATGTCATAATCTGACTTCGTATACCTCATATCACAGCATGTTAAATATCTCTGCACCTTATCCTCACTACCTCATGCCCAGAAATGAGTGCTGTGTCGGCGCTGCACTGTCTTGTCTGTTTACTGTGTCTAATGTCTGTTTTAATTGTTGTATTTTTTGTATTGTTTCTAGTTTATTCTTTTGCACACTTACGTCTGCACGTTTGCACTTTGTCTGTACTGTATTATTTTTTTCCATGTTGCCCCACGGTCCTGGAGGAACGTAATTTCACTCCATTGTGTACTTGTACATAGATAGAATGATAATAAAAGCCTCTTGACTCTTAAACTGAGGTGTCCCAAATTTTGGTATTTCATTAATTTGAAAAAAAGTACTGATTGTTCTTTAATTGCTCCTGAGCAGCCTGATGAAGCACAGCAGTTTTTGTTTGTTCTTCTGAACTCATAAAAAAAAAAAGAAATAAAATGTGCCATATGAAAAGGCATTATAATATAAAACTCCTCATTGACTTCATCTTTATACTCATCGAAGAAGCATAGTTTTACATTGTTTTCATCCGTTTGATATTCTTCGGATGTTTTTAGGAGCATATAAACATTCCCAGCTATCCAGTCTCATGTGGCACCTTGTGCAATTCCCTCAAAATATAAAATATTCTATGAAAACTCTAAACCAAGAGAAGAAATAATAAATATGCACTCACCGAACACTGCAAAAGGAAGACTATACTAATACTGGGTAGGGCCTTCCTTTGCCCTCAAAACAGCCTCAGTTTTTCATGGCATGGATTCTACAAGATTTTGGAAATATGCCTATGAAATTCAGGCCCACGTTGACATGACTGCATGCAATTCCTGCAGGTTTTTCAGGTTCACTTTCATGTTGTGAATCTCCTGCTCTTCCACATCCCAAAGGTGTTCTTCTGGATTCAGGTCCAGTTACAGGGAAGACCACTGAAAGCTTATTGTCATCTTCATGAAATCAGTTTGAGACTTTTGCTTTAAAGCATAGTCCATTATCATTATGTATGCAGTCATTAGAAGATCTCTTTACCCACAGAAGAGGACACACTGGATGCAGTGTCTTTTAAACTGGAGCGCTACCTCTCTGTTGAGGGCTCTATGTTTATCTCAGTTTATAATCATGTCATCACGTATCATACATCACATGACTGTACCGTGTCACATAAGTCAGAGCAGTACTTCTAGCGTCAGTTAGTGTTCAACTGAGCTTTGGAATAGAAAAAACATAAAACCTTTGTGATTTTGAATGAGGTGTGGTAGCTTGCACTAGGCATGCTGGTTTTAGCATCTCCCAAACAGCTGACACAACCATTTTGAGGCACATATCCTTACAGAATGGCTGCAGGAACATGACACTGAGTTCTCATTGCTTCAGTGGATCACTCATGCTCTTCTGAAGGCCAATGGAGGTGCAGCATTACTAGACTGGTGTATGTAATCAACTAGCAACTCATTGTATTTAACAAGAGAATGGTATGTGAAATGTCTTTGGCTACTTTTGTGGCACAACACTGACACCTTGAGGCTCAAATTTAACACTGCCTTCCAGGAACTGTATAGTAAAAGAGAGAGTTTGCTCTGTGTACACAGTATAAAACCCCCAGCAACCAACACTCCTCTACCATGTTGATGTCACTGCTGTGCTGAGAATGGTCCACCACCCAAATAATATCTGGTTAGCAGTGGTCAAGACTAGAAAATGGTGGTTAAAACTTTGATGAGGCCTTTCCAACAGATGGACTTGCTCTTGTGCTTCAAATCGCTGTCTTGCTGCATAACCCAATCACACTTGAGCTTCAGATCACAGACTAATGACCTGACAATCTTCTGCAGGATTTCATCAATTATGGCAAGATGTCCAGGCCTTGAAGCAGCAAAGCACCCCCATATATCACACTACCATCCATATGTTTGACTATTGGTATGATGTTCTTATTGTGGAATGCTGTGCTAACTTTACGGCAGATCTAATGGGACCCCATCTTTCAAAAAGTTCCACTTTTGACTCATCGGTACACAGAATGTTACTCCAAAAGGCTTGGGGTCATCAAGGTGTTTTCTTTTGGCAAACGTGACACAAGCCTTTATGTTTCTCTGGGTTAGCAGTAGTTTTCGCCTTGGAACTCTCTCATGGATACCATTTTGCCTGGCCTCTTTATAATGGTGAAATCATGAACGCTGGCCTTATCTGAGGCAAGAGAGGCCTGCATTTCCTTAGATGTTTGTCTGGTTGTCACTGTGCTTTTGATAGGCCGACCACTTCTGGGAAGATTCACCACTGTTCCAAGTGTTCTCCATTTCGAATAACAGCTCTAACTGGGTTCACTGGAGTCCCATAGCCTTAGAAATTGTTTTGTAACTGAAATTGCTTTTCAGACTGATATATTTCAATAACTTCCATTCCATTCTCGTCTAGAATTGCTTTTGATTGTGGCATAGTATGCTGAGACCTTTTAGCCTACTTCACATTGCTGGAAAGGTTCTATGTAAGTGATGTTTAGATTCAACAGGGCTGGCAGTCATCAAGCCTGAGTGTGTCTAGTTTAAGTGACACCACTTCAGTAACTAAGGAGTCAATTACCTTTTTACACAGAGCCATTTGTTGGATAACTGTTTCTTTCAATAAATTAAATGATCATGTAAAAGCTATATTTTGTGTTTACTCTGGTTGTCTTTGCCTTATATTGAATTTTGTTTGAAGTTCTGAAACAACTGTGTGAGAAATAAAAAATCAAAAGTCAAGAGGAATCAAATAATTTTTTCACGACATGGTATGTCTCTTTTCTTGTAACTGTGTATAAACTGGTGGTTCTCAAACTGGTCCACAGGGAACCCAGACGATCTAGTTTTGCTGCGGTCACTATGTGTTGGGAGTTGGGATCTAGCAAAAATGCAGACCATCAGGGAGACCCTGGAAACTGATTTGAGAATCCAAAGGACCTCATCCAAGACTATCCAGTCATCACTTAAATGTTTAGGAAAGAGGGAATGTGTGTTTATTCTGTTAATAACAGATAAAGAATGAAGTAAAGAACTGAAGAACTACAGCTTATATGTGGTCATGCATGCACATGATCTGCATTTGATTTTATTTATTTGCTGTTTATCATAACTAATTTTGTACAGCATGGACTTTCTTGAACATGCCAGTAAAATGCTCATGGTTTAAAATTATTATAAAAATGACATTTAGATACAGGAATTGATTTATTGGATGTTTTATTTCAAATTAAACCCATGGAGAAATAAATGCCATGAAGACTCATCAGATAGGTACATGAGAATAAAGCATACAGCAAAAATCACATAAAATGAAATTTTTGGTAATACCAGAAATTAAGATGCCAATTTCAAATGTATCGTAGATCAGAGAAACTGTAGAAGTTACTTACAAAAGGCAACTTTGTACCCCATATAATGCAGCAAAATGGAGATATGAACATGTTAACAGCTGTGATTCAACCCGCACTTTTTGGTTTGGAGCAAAGTTCTTAGACCTCTGTAGGACACTGGTCACTTAAATCTTAATAATACATCATAAATCTTACATAACATTAAACAACAATATATCACTACCAGGACAAAATGTTGTATCTCCATTTTTGTCATCTTATGTTTTTTAAATATAATTTGCAAACAACAGCTGTCTTTTACATTGTGTTCATAATTGATGGACCAACATAAGTAGTTACATACATAGATATGTAAATGGATACAGACATACATACATATGAAGCTGTCCCAAACAGTTTCATAGAGACAGACAGAGAGATGACAGAAGAAAGACAAAATGAAAACATAGCAGCTTCAAAACTGCTACAGAATCATTGCAACATTTGCTTGTTTAATCATCACTGAATTTGCAAAAAAATGTTTTTTTTTGGTACATTATCCTTATGTAGCAAGTTTTAGAGGTGACAGGTTTTAGGGCTTTTAGGTGGCTCTGAGTAATATATACAATCTGATCCTTGCTCTGGAGAACGCACTGAGAAGAATATTGAGTTGAATTTCATTCTGGAATGGATGGACAACAGGGTCAACCACAATCACGATGTTCCTCTCTAGTCCAGAGAATCTGCGGATGGTGTCTAACACAATCTTGTTTTGATCCACTTCTTCTACAGTGCCAAATAGGACAGGTAACCTCTCCCCTCTAACTCTGTACCCTCTTTCACTGAGTTTTTCTGTGGTTGAATACAGAACAGCAATATCCCTTGCAGCGTGCCCTTCTTGCAAAAGTCTTTTGACAATTTGGGCTACTTCTGCCTCCACTGACTTGACTTTAGGCAAAGTGACAAGCTCTCCTCTAAAATGATGGCTCAGCTTTATATTCTTTCTCATATTTTTGAGATGTTCTGCTTCAACAAGTTTTGAATTGTCTGCAATTCTGCCAATTAGACATGACATAGCATCAAATACATCTTTGGAATTTCGTACAACCTCAGAAAGGCAAGCTGTTTCTTGAGAAGTCAGAGGTGGCAGACCATCTTTAGTTGTGTGACTTCTCTGAAAATAGTCCACAAAGATCCAGAAAATGCCATGCTTTCCTTGCATCAGGCTTTCAGCCTTCTTGTACCAGTCACCATCCTCCACTCGAAAGTTCTGTCCTTCATCAACAATGATGTGTTTAATGCTGGTGAAATTCTCCACAGCCTTCATCATGAAGCTGGCTCTTGTCTCACATAAGCAAACAGATTGTTTCCTGAGGAAAAAAAGAAGGTTTTTCTGTGTAAATACCTGAATTTGTTAAAAAAAAAATCCTGTCAAAATGAATGAACTAATTCCTATTACGACTCACCTCACAAAGTCTCTCAATCCTACGTTTTCACAGAGATACAGGATGTCTGTTTTCTCACAGCTGTCAGATTTTTGTATCCTCTGTATTTTCTCCATGGCAATCAGGGTTTTTCCTGATCCAGGAGGCCCATGAATGAACAGACGTTTGATGCCCGTGTACCCATGTAGGATGGAAAACTGCTCTTCTGTTAACAGATTGAAAAACTCGCAGCCGAGTGTGTCGCTCAATGGTGAGGTGAAACTCAGCACAACTATAGCTAGAGACTGCAGTAAGGCCACTACTTCCTGAACATGGCCCAAAATGTAACTCTCTGGATATGGAGGCCCCTCATTGGCCTCATTTGGTATCAGCTCTCCTGTCTGACAGTCAACCAGATGGGGGATCACACAAAGTCTTTCTGTATATCCTCCTAGATTCACCAACTTCTGCTTGATATGAAACGCTGTTTTGCTAACATACTGCCAGAGTTCAAGACTCCCCTTTTCAACCCATGAAAACAGTGTGGGATAATGGTCGGTAGAGATCAACAGGGCTTCACAGATGACAGCCTCGTTTCGTTGTAAGTTGACATCAACTGCCCAGCTTGTAGACATGACTAAAATTCCAGGTCCATTCTTTGACAGAATGGGGCGAAGATTTAACAAGTTTGGGTACTTCACAAAAACCTCCTGAGGGATAAATTCGTGCTTTATGTTGATTTTTTCCCCCTGAACTAAATCAAAAATAAGCACACAAAACAATATTATTCAAATAAGCACAAACCCCTCAAATTACATTCTAAACATAATCTAAAATGACCACGTAAACTACTTACCAGAGAATATTCTCTCCTGGAGCTTTGCAATGTTTTGAGTGCTGTAGACAGGTCTGCACTGAGGGGGGGAATCCTTTAGACTTAACACATTCTCAAAACGTTTGATCAGCTCATGATCTGTAAAATGACCACACAAAGCAGACATTAATTTAAAACATTTTATTCTATCATAAAATTGGGGGAAAAAAAATAATAACTTGAATGTACCTGGATCAGAAAGTTGCATTTTCCCCAACCAACTGCTTGCATTTATTCTTGCGATTTCATCCTCCTCAACATGCCAGCATTTCGGATCCTCTTCAAACACGGCACAGCAAAAGGCTTGGACTTTTAATGCAATAATATATCGAGGCTCCTCAATGCTGCCGTTCTCAACTCTGAAAACTTTAGAATTCACTGACCAGTCCATTTTTTTCGCACAGTCTAAGAGATGAACAGCCCGAACCTTTACTCTTCTACAAATATCTAGGACCATCTCTTTTATAACCTGGGCGTTCATTCCCTGACCACAGCCAACAACTTTTTTGGTTTTGTCATCAACCCCAACGAACAGAAAACCCCCTTTAGTGTTTGCAAATGCTGAAAGGTACTTAGGAAGGTTCTCCTTTAGCCTCTTCTCCAGATTTGCTTCACGGTCAAAGCTTTTGAACTCAACATTTACACTTTCACCAAAATCTAATGTCTGATTGAGCTGTGCCACCTCTTCATCATAAAAAACTTCAGCTTTCTGGGTCAGCTTTGGTCTCTTTGCACAAGGTACAAAACAGGAAGGAACTTTGTGTTTGTTCTTTATGAAGTCTAAAACTCCATTAGGAATAATGGAGGGAGTGGATGTTCCTGATCTTTCCCTTAGGCCACTGTCAACACTACAGAGCCTTGCTCTTTGACTATCCGGACACCATGACTTCACAAAGAGATGTAGTGTATTACCATGTGGTGTGAATTCAATGAAATCCTCAATAACTGAGGGATGCAGTAACTTGGTCAAATGCTCCTCCACATCTGCCCCGAGACCCATAGTATCGTAATCATAGTCTTTATTTTCAAACTCTGCTGAAAGGATTCCACCTCCAGAGTTTAACAGAGCACATACATGCTGCAAAATCGCATCTCTTTGAGGCTCCTTCTTAGTTTTGTCCATGTATCTTCTGGCCTGCTCTCCAAATGTACACTTTTCGATCCAGAGATGCTGATCATATAATCTCTTGCTTCCTGCCAATGGATCAGGTTTGTAAAAAGCCATTCCCTCGGTGGTTAGTAACCTTTGCAATGAAAGAGGAACGGTTTACTTTACAGTATGCACACATGGAAACAGCAGTAGCAGCCAACTCAAAACCTGAATTTTGTCCATATTCTATCCATTTTTTAGAAATGGCAGTCTGTCATATACTCTTAAACAGATGCTTTTTCAAGGGTTCCTCAGTAAAGGCAGTGTTCCTATTTAGAAGCATTTCATGCTTAAATGGCTCTGTGTGCAGTGAGATGATTCTCTCGATTGATAGAAGTGTTGCATATGAGGCTGCACGATGGTGCGTTGTTGCCTCAAAGCAAGAAGGGCCTGGGTTCAGTTCCCCGGCCTGGCGACCAGGGTCTTTTCTGTGTGGAGTTTGCATGTTCTCCCTGCGTCTCTGTGGGTTTCCTCCCACAGTCCAAAGACATGCAGTCAGACCAAATGGAGATACTAAATTGCACCTAGGTGTATGTCGATGTGGATGTGAATGTGTATGTCTATGTGTCTGCCCTGTGATGGACAGGAGACCGTCCAGGGTGTTTCCTGCCTGCCGCACAATGACGCACGCAACCAAAGAGGCTAAGTGGCTTAGAAGATGAATGAATGGTTCTATATAGTCAAGTCAAATCAAATTTATTTATATAGCGCCTTTTACAACAAATGTTGTCACAAAGCAGCTTTACAGAGAATCCGGGTCCACGCCCCCAGTGAGCAAGCCTTGGCGACAGTGGCAAGGAAAAACTCCCTCAACAGGAGGAAGAAACCTCGAGAGGAACCAGACTCAAAAGGGGAACCCATCCTCCTCTGGTCGACACCAGATAACAGCACAGACACAAAACAGTATAAGTGGATACAGTTTTACACTTCTGTACAGTAAAGAACCATATTTTATGAGTGTTCAGTGTCAAAAACCACTCCAGCAAGGCTGTCTTAGATTACTTAAACATTTTACGAGGCTGTAGTGATGATTAAGGCATGCAGATAGCCCAGTGCTAACTAATAGGCAGACGTCAGAAGCTCCTTGCTATCTATATTAGCCTTGTGGAACCACTTCACTTTGTATCAAACCACTCTGAATTGCTTTGTTTACACCTCAACGACAGAATTATGCTGAAGGCAAAGGAAAAAACTCTTAAGTCTAACAGGACACAGACGAACAGCTGTGCATTATGCACTCAGTAGTTTATTGAGCAGACGTAGACTGTTGTTCAGACGAATGACTAACAACCAGGAAAGATTTAAAGCTGTCTTACCGCTCTCTGTTCGACAGCAGAACGACAAATCAAGTTTACTGTTATCCTACTGAACAGGAAACCCCCTTTAGTGTTTGCAAAAGTTTATACACCTTTCTCTCCAACGGCGTGGACGGACGACACACTGATGAATCGGTTCTTGAACCAGTTCCTTAATCGGTGGAACCGACTCCCCACTCAGTTGATACCCGCAGTCTAACGACCTCTGATTTCGAATAACTTTTCACAGTTTAACTTGATAAAAACTGCAACATAAAATATTAAACATATTAATAGCAACCCGTTCAAGTGTAATAACTTATTCCCTCTGCAGATAACTCTGAATCAAATATCACGAGGCTGAAGCTGAATTCTTATTCGCCAGCTTCTTACCGAATTTTCCCGTTCCACCTTAAATGGTGCAGCGGTAACAGTCTGGCGCCTCTGGCCTTAGGCAGAGGAACGTAACTGCAGCAGAGCCGGTTTATGAGGAGCCTGGCCACTTCATATTTCCCCCCACGTCATATCAAAAACAGGACAACTAAACAGCAGAGGGCGCCCGAGAGTGAGTCCTCAATGAATGGGAGTAAACGGAGCTCAACGGCTAAAAACGAAAAGTTAAAAGTTTCTAATCACTCGCCCAGAACGTTTCTTTAATTTGAGAAAGTAGTAGGATGCATTTCACTAAAAAACAAAGAAAACTCACCAATATATTTCCTTTTTTTTTACAGTAAACGGGTTTTGGGCAGCAGAAGGCGGGCTTTACTGCTAGAGCGTGATGATTGATTGGCGAGCGGAGCAGCTCATTGGCTGTTCGCGCTCACTGACGTCATGGACATCCATGAGGCGCCGTTTTAAACTCCTATAGCTCGAGTTTAAAAGCTCTTAAAAATATAACAGCGGTGTTCAAATGTTTTATGTTGTTCTGTGTTCAGGAAATGATCGAATTCCTTTACATTAAAATGTTTAAGCATTTATAAACTATGATTTTGCTCAAATGCTCCATATCAACCCATTCATTTTGGACTCACTCGGGAGCGCCCTCTAGCGTTTGAGAAAACCGGAAGACATTCCAGAGTGGTTAGTCTCCTCTCTACAAGTTCTCTGACTGCAGCACCATTAAGGTGGGACGGGAAAATCCGACAAAAACGTGGCGAAGTGTCCTCTAGCTTCGTTTAAACATTGCTGCATGTGGATGGCGGGGATGGATAAAATAAAGTTCGCTTGAATAATCACTGATAATGAAGCAGACTTAATTAATCAGTTCATTCTCAAGGAAAGAGAACATGTGGTTGAACGAATACTCAAATCATTCAAACGGGCTGTTCGAAAGAGTCGGTTTGATGAACCGATTTAAGCTGAATAATAACTATTTCGTCAGCGTCCCGCCAGAATTTGATAGCTTCTTCTCTGGCTCGCGTGCAGGCTTACGAAATCTGTGTGGCGCTCCCTGTTGGTTCGGAGGGCAATTGAAGAGAAAATCATACAAATCAAAGTTCAGCATTTTTGCTGCACTGTGCGGTACTGTGTGTGGTGGACTCTACTGCTTTGGAAGGGGTATCTTTTGGTGCCTTATGGCCCATGTTCATGACATATAGTGCAAACAGAGCCCTACCCTAACTTCTAACAAACATGTACCAGGTGTTCATTGTTCCCTGTGGCTTAGTTCAGGTGTGGAGGGAGCTGAGATAGAGTAACAATAAGTGGACCGTCTGGGTGGACAGGTTTTAGAACCACTGGATCACTGCACATTAATGATGAAAGCAAAAAACAAAATAAAAATGTCAGGTACTGTAAGTTGAGAAATAAACATGATAAATGAATTGGTCTGCCACCTGCTTTTTTTTTAAAAAACTGGCATTTGAGCAATGACAACAGAACAGCAAGAGCAAACAGATCTGTGTGTACATTATTTAACAGGTGCTATAGAAACAGGTGCTATAGAAAAAAAACCTGTAAAAACAAAATAAAGAGAAGGAACAGAGATGAAGTGATCAATACAAAATAAAATGGGTGCGAGATTTATCTACAATGTTGTGTTCAGTAATTCAATAATAATATATGGTCTAATGGTCTTCTAATTTTGTCATTATTCAAAATAGCGTAAATTTGATTAAAATAATTTTAAAAAAGATAGAAAAAAACGGACAAGGGATCTGGCAATATCTGGCATGTTATCATTTTTGTGATCAATTTCATCACAATACAATTTTATGGGTATATTATAGGTATCATCAGTACATCTACAGCACTGACTGCATGTATCATAAAAAGACAGACTTAGACCAATTACAGAGAGTCTATAAACAGAGAGTGTACACTTACTGAATAAACTGAAGAGTAACTGTAACTGAGTGTATGTTTTCCCCTCTCCTGTATATTTTTAACTCTTTATTACATGGTGTTGCTATATGGCAACAAGTAATTTCTTTAAATCTTTAACTACAATATAAAATATTTTCTTTGTATATAGCTGGTATACTTTTTTGTCTGATTACATTGTTTCCTGTTGCAGTCTGTGTTTCTTTTTTTCAGACTTACATCACATGGTGAAGCCTGACTTCAGAAGCTTTCTCAAAGTTGGTATACAGTAATTATACATTTATAAACAACTGTTGCATATTTATTCACAACTACTTAAAAAAAAGATTGAAACATAGTCTGTTAGGGATTATCATTTATTGTTCATAAATGACATCACTTTGTATGCTGTCTGTTTTATATAAAATGATAAAATATAATTGTTGACACCTGGCAACAGTATGCACATATACAATATTTTATTTTCTATACTTTTCTGTATTTTAAAAACAATTATGCATAAATTACCAATATGCACATTTCTTTCATGCTTTAATGATGAGCGTGGCTGTGCTTTATGGCAGTGTGTTAGTTTACTACAATTGTGTTCACTGCAGATTTCAGTTCCATTGTCACATCCTGCTTCAACATGGCAACAATGTTCAGAGCGTTTACTCCTAAAATATTTTCCTCTTAAAAATACTATTAATTATGTCATTTTGATTAAAAAACATATTTTTGCAATGTATATTTGATAATTCCTGCAGTAAAAAAGTTTAAATTGTTTATTTTTTCAAGTGTTGAATTTTAATTTGTTCTGGTTGTTTTACATAGTTTTTAATTGCCTTTTAAAAAATG